CTCAGCTCTACTCTGGCTGGTGCTGTGAGCTGTATTAGTTCATAATTGACATGACTGGATAAGGCTGCTGAGGCTTCCAGCTCTTAGCATGGGGGTGGAACCTTTGCAGTCGGTGGAACAGGCAGGACACACACACCCAAGCAATGCTGTGCAAATGCAGAGAAGTTCATGAGACTGTGGACAGGAAAGAAAAGCAGAAATTCTATGCACTTCTTGGCTTCTAAGCTCCCTGACCTATGCTGTTAAAAAGGATGCTGAAAGTCACCTTACAAACTGCATCCATAACACCATGTCACCTTGCAAACAACCTATTTTTCAGAAACACTTGTTTTCACCCACTTTCAAGTTTGTGATAATTTTCAGATTTTTTTCTCTCTAAAAAGAATCTTCCCTTTTGTGCACATGTGTGAGAATATTTATCCCTCTGGTGACATCAATTATTTCTACAATATAAATTTCAACTCTAAGTCCCTCCTACTTAATAAAACAGTTTTTTCTGAATTGTGAGTGAGCTCAGCTGAACTAACCAGTTTTCAGTGCTGCACAGTCTTTCCAGATTAGATGATGCTTCAGACACAGCTCTTTTTTTTTCAAAACACTATTTAGAGGTGGTTTTGAGATACACAGAAAGATTTCTCTTAATTTCAGAAAGAGGACTTTGACTTCTTTCCCTGTTTGCCTTTTTTTTTTTGTTTTCCTTGAAGCAGTGCAATCATTTACTCAATGAAACAAGACATTTCCTTCCTCTACAAAGGATTGTGGAGAACCTGAGACCTCTTTGTTTATGATATGTGAAAAATTTATAGCAAAACAAATGAGAAATCGCTCTGAACTTGAGTGGCTTCAGCGGCTGTTGGTGGAATTACAGTTCTCCCAGAGAATTTGGATTGGGGAGGACTGGGGCTTCTGTGAGCTACTCCTCTCTTCCAGACATGCAATGCTTCAGATTTTCATCTAGGATCTATTGCAGCTTTCTAGCATATTGCCTAAATCACAAGGCATATTCTTATTTCCACTCTAATCGTGAGACTAATATCACACCAACTCGATGAGAAAGCTGGAAAAGCCTTTGGATTACTGTGTAAATTAATTCAATGCCACATGGTACTAATTGTACACTGTCTAGTTGTACTCTGCAGCAGCTAGAAGTAGCATTTGCTGTTGATATAGCCATAACAATGTTGTGTTCATATTAGTAATTTACATTTAAACAGAGCACGTGAGGAAAACAGAAAATAAAAATTATCTACACATTTTTCAGATCACAGGTAATTTATAGCTGGCAGTAAAACCTATTAAATTACTACTGCTGTCACTTGAAGGCATTTTTTTGGTACTTGAGAGAGGAAACAGCTCAGTGTAAGTAACATGAGGTTTAACCTCACACACTACATATCAAACATGTAAATATTAATTCAAGGATGAAAGCATTCAGCTGAACAGAAACCATCTGGCAGAATGAGGAGAGTGGATGAGAATGCATCAATTATAACGTAATGTGTATAAATTGGAAATCCATGGACCTCCTTTGCACAAAGAGCCTTCTTTTCACATTGATAATCACAATACAAATTTCTAACTCCTCCTTGGACGTATCTGCTTTCTGATCCCTGCTTGCCCCAGCAGGGATAGCAGGGTGGCATTGTGGAGCGATAGTCATAGTCCCCTGATACTGATAGTGTCAGGCACTTGCACAGCTCTGGCTCCAAACCCCTGGATTTGCCTTGTGGAAAAATTTTAAGAGTAATAATGTTTACAAGATGATATAATTATTTTAAAACTATTTCCAAAGAAACCAAGTGCGAGATGTTAGCATGCAGCACACTTGATCTGCAGTCACTGTTGTCCACCAGGGCTGGACTCTGAAAGGCAAGTAGGACAGTTTCAAATAACTAAGCGCCTACCTCGCAACTCCTAGTATTTTCAAGACAAGCTAGGTACAAATATTACTTAAAAATCGTAATTTTTAGTAGCCTCAGTTCCTCTCACAATTAATCTGAAATTCAGTGTTTTGTTCTTTCTGAGCAGGCATGATGGGAAAGGCAGATGAAGAAGGGGAGTTTCGTATTAAGACAAATTCAGTCCAGAAAAACTCTGGCCTCTTATGTTGGATACCAGGAATGAATGCAAGCACATAGGGTCACCATTTCAGAGGTTCATATTCTATGATTTGGAACACTGTCAAGCTAAATCACTAAGTCCTCTGTTGCTGACCAGATACACTACACCTACAGAGAAGCACAGAAAGGAACTGTATTTTTATGCTGCTTAAGCCACAGATCCTATTCAGCCATTAGCATGTAAATTCTTTGTCATCCCAATTGCTAAACACCTGCGTGGTATTAACTGGGAAGAAATTCTATCATACCAAAAGCTGTTCTTGCATAGGAAATGGGGGATTTGCCATAAAATTGCTGATGGTTTTGGACAAGCCACTTAATTTGTGTTTTCCTCTGGAAAAGGAAAATATATTTTTGCTTTTGCCTATTTCTTCTGGCTTTTGTTTCTAAGCTGTGATCTCAGGGAAAGATGCTTTCTTTAGATAGAAATCTAAATACAAGTGCCTCATTCAATTTGGCTTTGTGGTGCAAGTGTAATTAAATTAATTACTGTAAGAAATATGAACCTAGTATGGGTTGTGCCCAGGATAATAAATACGTAATTCCAGGGACAACCTGTGGCATATTTCTCTGCTGACAGCTCTCCTGTCTCTGTTACACTGTGCATCTGCTTTTCCTCCCAGAGGAATGCATTCAGCACTGCTATGGTGATTGCAGTCGTGCCCCCACTCAGAAGCCTTTCTGCAGATGACTCTTCCCAGACAGCTGGATTTTCAGACTGATCAAAACCACAAGACAGAAGAGAATCTCCCCAGTTCTGTGCATGCAGCCTCTAAAGTACAGCTAAACCCACGAGGTTTCTGAGCTGCTCTAGTCTGAGCCACTGGTGGCTATTACTTGTGTTGACACCAGCTGTACCAGGCGCACAGGCTTTGCAGTGACATCCCTAAGGCGTGTCGAAGGAATCATGCTCCATCCTGCTGCAACCCCCCACGGTGTCCGCCACCCTCACCTCTCCCCGGCTTTCTGCACAGCTGGCACCACAGAGCCGCCCGCTGCCGCTGGTTTGCCAGCGAGGCCAAGAGACAGCCCCGCTTCCTGCGGCCCCGATTCCTCGAGGAGCGCAGAGCTCGAAGGGAGAAGAGAGGAGAGCTCCGGGCGCTCCAGACGGGGGGGAATTGGAAGTTCTAGGGCTGCCTCGATAGGAACGGAGCGCGCCCCTGGGCCATCCCCATCTCCCCCCTTCAAAGCGCCCGCTGAGCGCTCCAGGGCTCAATGGATGCTCGGTTTGGAAACGAGGAGCAGGCACCAAGGGGATGAGCTGGGTCGGGCCGGTCCTGCGGCGCTCCCGTGGCTCCCGGGAGGTGGCGGTGTTCCCCCACGGAAGCCACCGCCCAGCTCCGCTCCGCCGCCAGCCCGGCCGGGGAGCCTCCTTCGTCTCCCTCTCACTCGTTTGCCGCTCGTTTACCGATGGATTTACCGCGCGTGATCTGAGCCGGGACAGCCCCGCTGGGAGCTTTTTCTCTGGCGGGTGAAAAAGTTGCCAAGTGCCGCAGCACAGCCGGAACGCCGGGATTACGGAAAGCGATCACGGCACGCGTATTTATACACGTCTATGTCTGTACATATATAAACGTATTTCAATATACAAATACAGATCTAGACACGAGGCAGAGGATCTCCAAACACGGCCAGAGAACCGTTTCACCGCGGTGCCATTTACATTTTTGTTCGTGCATTTGGGAGAGGTGGATGGAAGACGAGAGGATGCGTGCCGGCTATCCGTGTCCCATCCCTACCCGTGTGCCAACCCGTACCCGTACACGCTCACAGGCAGTGGCTACAATGCCTTTAAATCCTCGCTCCTTAGGGGACAGGTGCGGGATTCAGGCCCCGCCGGCCAGAGCCGCTCGCAGAGGTGCTGCAGCTCAGAGGGTCCATAGAACACCCTCGGACGCACAGCGGGTTCTGACGGACCGGCCGCCCCTCACGGCTCCACCGCAAGTTTCTCTCCCCCCATCACCCGCTCCGGCTCTTTATCAAGAGCCTCCTTCCCTCTCCGGCGGGGGCCGGCGCCCGCCCGCACCCCGCAGTG